GAGAATACCTTGTTTTTTCGATTGTACAAGATGATTTAACTACAGTTTGTATCAGACTGCACTGCAGGTTTTGCTGAATTACAAGAAATTACATAGTCAAGAGATGTGGAGCAAAACAAGCAGAGTTACCTGATTGCGCCTGTGGCTAAGCTCCAGATACTTACTGTGAGAATTAATTAATTGACACAATTAAAACTGTGCAAACACTGAGACACATTGCAGTCCATACACATCCACATCTCCCCTGCCTGAGGCCGCATGGGATGTCCCTGTAGGTTTAATTAATAGTCGGTGGATCGTAACACTGCCCTGAAGGGGCTCATAATCTAATCACACTGAGCTGCGCTCCAGCGGGCCGCCCACTGTGGTCGTAATTGATAAGAGTCTCCAGCCTACAAGGTTATGAAATTCAATGTTTCCATTGCTGTCCTTGTTGTTATAGATGGTACAGTGGGAGGTCCAGCTGTGGTTCAGCAAGACACATAGTTCACTGCTTCAGGAAACCGAGGACCCACTACAGCAGGTGAGTCTGGGTTGAGGGTAGACACATTTTGGCAATTCTATAACAGTTGGAAAACTCTTAGTCAAAATAGTTACCGTCTATAATAAACTGGACATTGTTGAGAGCGGGCTGCAAGGTGGCGCAGTTGGTAGCACTGTTGCCTCGCAACAAGAAGGTCACCAGTTCACCCGGGATCTTTCTGCGTGGAGTTTGCATGTTCTCCCCGTGCAGAGTGGGTTCTCTCCAGGTTCTCCAGCTTCCTCCCACAGTCCAAAAACATGCTGAGGTTAATTGGTGATTCTAAATTGTCCGTAGGTGTGAATGTGAGTGTGCTTGGTTGTCTGTCTCTAAGTGTAGCCCTGTGGTAGACTGGTGACCTGTCCAGGGTGTCCCCTGTCTTCGCCCTAAGTCAGCTGGGATAGACTCCAGCCCCCCACGACCCTAGTGAGGATTAAGCGGTGCATAGATGATGGATGGATGGACATTGTTGAGAGAAATTGTTGGGCAAAGCAGTTTGTAAAGAAGTAATGCTTGTGACAGAGTTAAGTCAGACCCAAATGTAAAAACAACGTTTTAACGGGTTGATGTTTTGTATTTAATGGCCTGGTGACTAGTAAGGATATTTCTTGCAATGCTTTATTTATTTATTTTCTTATGGACAGAATACTGATACCTGATAGATTACATCAGCATGTATAAACCAAGGATGTTGTGAAATATCGGTATTGATGATAACTGTGATATTATAAACATGGAACACTGACATCTCATTTAAAAACTTTTTTTTCCGTAGATATTGCAATAATTTTATTTTCCTGAAAGGAAAGCTTCTGGTCATGTTAATGATGTAGTAAGAATCTGATATAATAACAGCCCTGATGTGAAAAATTATTGCATGAGACTTATAGGTTGGTCGATTTTGTCTAAAAAAAAAAACCACACAACTGTGCTTTAGCCCTTAATGTGCACGCTATGCTTACAACAAGACAACAACTATTTTCCTGTGTAACATGCTTCTGTTAAGTTTTCCACTCAAGATTGAGCGACTTCTCTAAATGCTGAGTGATTCCAGGTTAGATAAAATCACAAAGTTTGTTGAATTCTGTCCAACAAAACACGTTCCAGCCAAAGAAACCCAAAAGGTAATTGTACATAAGAAAAAAACAAGGCATCACAAGGTATATGACATTTAAACATTGTGTAACATCAGCTTACATCATGGTGTGACATGGCTGCGTCCCCTTCAGTGATAGCCTCTTTATTATATAGGCTAAAGCACAGCGTGGTGGAGGCAAGAACATTCTGTGATAACTGAAGACAATCATAAAGGAAAGCACAGCTCTGCCGCCAAGAACTCTTTCTGCTCCAAGGATGTTGCATTCAACCCCATTCATATAGGTACAATAAGCGTGCTCATTGCTCGAGGGGACTTTTTCCAGAAGGCTGCTCGTAATACATACATCTTGTGTTTAAAGGGTTTTAACTTGTGCTGCACATAAAGAGAAAGTAAAGGTCATGTGAATATGTGCTGCAGAGAATCGATAATAATACCATTAACTGGCAATGATGGACCGACATCTGGTTTCTGGAGCTTGTGTTTGTTCACATAGGGGAATCCACTCTCAGTAGGCTTTGGTCACAGTAAAGAGAACTGGGTAGACTTTGGAGGCATGAAAGAGGTTAGTTAGTATAAGGACATCCCCAGTCATTCATCACAACAGACAGCTGTGGGATGAGGTCGCCTATATATTGGCCCTGTGTGTGTGAATCTACAGGCATGCGTTATTTAAAGCCTGATCTATCATCCCTATACTACCAAATCCATAGGTTTATCAACCAGCGTCAATGGCCAGATCCATGCACATCTATCAAAACATGTCAGATTTGAAATGAGAAAACAAAAGACGGACACACACACAGCACGAGTTTAATTTTCTCTTGTGAGCACGAACACACGACGCGTTCAGAGCTGCTGACTCTAACAAAGGTCGGATGAAGCAAATCATAATACAGCAAGCTTTGTGAAAAGAGAAAAACTCATGAATATATTTTTCTTTGGTCAACTAAAAGATTAAGTAATGAATGTACTGTTGAAAGATGGATGTAATGTGTAAGTCCTAATGAAACACAATCATGGGAAAACATGGCAACAGCTGAGTTCTTTTTTCTGCAAACTTTGTCATTTTATTAACCATCATTCACACAATAGGTTTTTAGCCGTGAGAGCTGAGTCTGTTGTTGTGTCACTTGTTGTTTACCTGGCTACTCCTATTTACACTAATATTAGAGATTATCTTTATGCTGATGACACAGAAAACAATTCTTTCATTTTGGTGGCTGGAACATATTTGTACAAATCTACAGCAGATAATGAAACAACAAAGCTAAAACTGTAAAGTCCTGCCTGTGGTCCCTCAAAATGTGATGATCATTACTGTTGTGAAACTGTTGCATAGAACAAACATGGTAGTTGTGATCGCTTGGGCTGCCAGAAGAACAGCTTTAAAGATCACTGGAACATTTTTGCAGTTCATTGTTAAATGAAGAAGGGGTAAAAGTGGCCGGAACGCACAGGCACTACTTCCAGTCTGAACGTAGCCAATCTGTCGGATTGTTAAGTCAGGTAATAC